CACAGTTTCATAAGCAGTTAGAAATACTTATGTCTGGTACATTTGCTCAATTTTTCTCCATCGGCAGGTGTGGAAAGAGTTAATTTTAGCGGCTGCAGATACCCATAATGCCCCTCTCAGGATTTTAGTACATATTCATTTCATATTCATTCTCTTATTATGCATGTTTACTTTATTCTTTTAATCTGTAATCTGAGAGAAGCTCACTTTAAAGGTGCTTTATAGAATACTATTTAATATTAATATAAAATAAAATTTATTATTAAGTTGGAGGTTATTAATTATGATTATGACTGTTAATATATTTAGAAAATGAATCACTATTTTTTTTTGTAGATTAATCAAAAATTTTGAATTAGCTGAAATTTGCTTTTGAGTATCTTCATTTCTAAATGAATCTTTAATATATTTTTTTGAAAAGATGTTTAATTTTTATTTTTAAATTTTTGCAGATATTTTCAGTATGTTGAAAAGACTCGCGTCTGCGCGTGATGAATGTGAAGCAAAAACAGTTGCAAAAACCTTCCCAGTATTTTAGGATTTTACAACAAAAACTGTCCAGTTGCACCATATTCACCTAAAAAAGCATTTAATTTTTTTTTTTTTTTGTACATTTGATGCAATTTTTTGGATGTTAAAATACTTTTAGCAGTTTAATATGCAAAGCATTGTTAACTAAAAAAATATTTTAAAAAATGTTACTGAAATAATAAAATAAAATTGGGCAACATTTATAATTTTTGTTTACTTTAACATGATGTACTAAAAACTATAATAGTATCTCAAAGATACTAAAATAATACTGGTGCTGAGTCAAGTCTAAACAGCTCGTTTCATATTTACACTCATGCATCTGATAGATGTTTTTATCTGATTTGCATCGCACTCAAGCCTGATGATGTTTGATCAGTTTTAGTTTCAGCCTTCCTGTAGCTCAAACAGCAGAGCAAGGCAAAGCAAAAACTGATCAGAAGTATACCCTGAATGCAATGTAAGTTGCTTTGGATAAATCTGCCAGATTCATAAATGCAAATCACGTCATGCATTCCCTGGGAATGGAACCCATGACCCTGATGTTGCGAGCGTGACGCTCTTCTGTTTGAGGAACAGCTCTGATCGCTGATGCTGTGTTTGTGTCTGCAGCCGGCGAGTCTCTGAGACGCAGCGGCACAGACATGATCCCGAAGACCCGGATGAAGACGCTGAAGATGACCATCATCATCGTCCTGTCGTTCGTGGTCTGCTGGACGCCCTACTATCTGCTGGGCATCTGGTACTGGTTCCAGCCGCAGATGCTGAAGGTCACGCCCGAGTACATCCATCACCTGCTCTTCGTGTTCGGGAACCTGAACACCTGCTGTGATCTACGGCCTCTACACGCCCTCGTTCCGCGCCGATCTCGCCCGCTGCTGCCGCTGTATGGAGCGCCGCGGGGTTCATACACAACTAATGAAGAGAGCTCAGAGCAGATTTACCCAGAAGCCTCTGCAGTTTTAGAATAACTTCACAGATTTCTCAGCATGCTTTTGTTATTAAAGCAGCTGGACGCGTTGAAACGTCTGCGTCAAACTCGTTCTGTATGTTGTTTACGCTGTTGTTTGCGTCCAGAGTGACTGTTATTGTTTGCATTACAACTTTATTTAGGCATTTTTGGACTGGCATTTAATCTGGTCCACTTTACAGCTCATTAATTGCCAACATAGACACTGCAAAAAGTCCTTCTTTGTCAGTATTTTTGTCTTGTTTTCCAGGAAATGCAAAATTACACAAGATAAGAAGCCTTGTTTGATCTAATAAATATCTGCTAATAGGATCGGAAAAATCTACTTCATTCAAAGTGAAAACCAGTTGATATTTTTTACATTTCTCATTAAACAAGACTTAATATCTCATGTTATTTTGCATTTCCAGTGAATGTATTCTGATTTAAGAATCTTTAGATATCTGTACTGGAAAACTAGACAAAAATACTGATATACACATAATGGTGCAGCAGCATCGATCCTGCACAATGTGACTTTTTTGCTCAGAATTTCTGCCCATACAAAAGTAATAAATATATTTTACAGAGAATAACTTTCTTGCTTTTCTGGGAACTGAACCCATGCATGACCTGATGGAGCTACTGGAAGCTCAAACTGGCTTCAGTCATTTCCATGTGGACTGATGTGATGTTCAACATCTGACTCTGGATGACGTGTATCGGTCAGATCTGCTGATTTTTTGTGCACAACAGTAACTGGACTCTGAAATAACATGATGAATCTCTCTATAAATGAACATCACTGTTCTTCAGAGACCCACATGCTGCATCACAAACACTGTAAACACTGTCAGAAATACCAGCTGGTAATACAGCCAATTAAACACAGTCAACCTGACCCTGCCTTCTGTTCTTAGTGCCGCAAATACACACAGAGACACACACTCACACACACACTCTCTCTCTCACACACACACACACACACACACACTCTCTCTCTCTCACACACACACACACACTTACACACACACTCTCTCTTACACACACACACACACACTCACTCTCTTACACACACACACACACACACACACACA